TCCAATCTACCAGCATAAAAAAGTTTGTATGAACCTCGTGCCTTAATTTTAGACTTAAGAGTCCTCCTCATAGCCAAGCTACATTAGATGCAAAGAAGACTTCACAGTTGGAGACACACCAACTAAACATAGATTGCTCTTGGAAGGATTACTAGCGAGACCAGAAGCAACAGAGAACTCGTCGATCTTCCTTTTTACTGCAAGTAAAGAAAGATCATCCGCTCCAGCAAACAACAGAAGATCATCGGCAAACACCAAATGACAAATCCTATTTCTCGCGCATTTGGGATGAAAGGAAAAGCTCCCATCATTCTCCAGACCCTTCACAGACTTCTTATAAGATATTTCCATGCAGAGTACAAATAGATAAGGAGACAAAGGATCGCCTTGCCTAAGCCCCCGTTTACCCTTAAAAGTAACCACGCATCGTGCCATTAAGCGTAATGGAATACGTAGGTGAACCCATGCATTCCCTAATCCAGTTCACAAACTAGATTGGGAAGTTCAAACCTCCGATCGATAGAGTCATATGCTTTCTTAATGTCGACTTTAATCATCCCCCGTGGAGATTATCCCTTCCTCCTATAATGCTTAACTAGCTCATTACTTGTTAACAACATTAAATTGTAGCAGGCAAAAAAAAAATGCACAATAGGGTCTTCAAACTTCTGAGCCCATGGATCATTCACAAAGACGTTATCAATTCTTGACCAAACTCTATTTGTGGCATCTTGCTTATTAGTCCGAGTGAACCAACGACCAAGATTCCTCATGTGAGTGAAACCACCAAGCTCCAGGCAATCTACTAAACCCCTGACTTCAGCATCAGTGACAGCATGGACAGAGAGTTTCTCATCCTGACTAACAACATTACTGGAAAAAGGCCTATTTTGATGCAAGAGAAATATGCATGTACTAAAGGGAAAGTAAATGTGAATTAATGAATCGTTGGTAAAAGAACGATACAGATTAATTGAAACTATGAACAGTTTAAGAAAAAAGAGGGCAGATATATGTGTGTGGATAAGACAATTGAGAGAGCGATGAGTTGAGTTCAGTTTGTTTGGAATGGAATTTTCTCAAATCAAATTGACCAAAATATATTATAAAACTAAACCGAAATGTCAAAATTTGATCGATTCAATTCGATTCAATCGGTTTGAGCCCCATTAATGCTCACCCCCTATAACTATCCTTTTAAGGAGTTCTTTCAAACTACACTATTTCACTCCAAAACAATCACAAAGTTTAAAAACATGAGTATGACATACAAAGTGTTATCTAATATTTGATCAACAAATTTTGCATTGGGGCAATATCTATCTTTCTATCAATATATGCAAGTCTTCAATCACTAAAATTTAGAGCAAGTAAATATATTTTCGGTACACAATCAATGCAATAGATCAACATATTGGATATTTTCAAACCCTGAGCCCCTGAAGAGGGATGATCCATAGCAGGAGTCTCTGTGTTCAAATCCCTCCCCAGGTAATTAAACTCCCCTCGGGTCCGTGCCTGCCGCCCAGCACGAGTGGAGATTAGTCTCATCCAATAGGGTGGGGACACCTCGTGGCTCGTACCAAAAAAAAAAACATAATGGATACTTTCTGCTCTCTCCCAGGCTCACAAGTAGACACAAATGCCCATGTCGCTAGGATGATAGGATCACACCTATGCCCTGGATGCAAAGTAATTGCTCAGCCTCATCAGTTTTCGTTGTATTTGTAATGTGAATCGATCGATCATGCCAATTGGATCCTATCTTTACTCCCATCATTCTCCAGACCCTTCACAGACTTCTTATAAGATATTTCCATGCAGAGTACAAATAGATAAGGAGACAAAGGATCGCCTTGCCTAAGCCCCCGTTTACCCTTAAAAGTAACCACGCATCGTGCCATTAAGCGTAATGGAATACGTAGGTGAACCCATGCATTCCCTAATCCAGTTCACAAACTAGATTGGGAAGTTCAAACCTCCGATCGATAGAGTCATATGCTTTCTTAATGTCGACTTTAATCATCCCCCGTGGAGATTATCCCTTCCTCCTATAATGCTTAACTAGCTCATTACTTGTTAACAACATTAAATTGTAGCAGGCAAAAAAAAAATGCACAATAGGGTCTTCAAACTTCTGAGCCCATGGATCATTCACAAAGACGTTATCAATTCTTGACCAAACTCTATTTGTGGCATCTTGCTTATTAGTCCGAGTGAACCAACGACCAAGATTCCTCATGTGAGTGAAACCACCAAGCTCCAGGCAATCTACTAAACCCCTGACTTCAGCATCAGTGACAGCATGGACAGAGAGTTTCTCATCCTGACTAACAACATTACTGGAAAAAGGCCTATTTTGATGCAAGAGAAATATGCATGTACTAAAGGGAAAGTAAATGTGAATTAATGAATCGTTGGTAAAAGAACGATACAGATTAATTGAAACTATGAACAGTTTAAGAAAAAAGAGGGCAGATATATGTGTGTGGATAAGACAATTGAGAGAGCGATGAGTTGAGTTCAGTTTGTTTGGAATGGAATTTTCTCAAATCAAATTGACCAAAATATATTATAAAACTAAACCGAAATGTCAAAATTTGATCGATTCAATTCGATTCAATCGGTTTGAGCCCCATTAATGCTCACCCCCTATAACTATCCTTTTAAGGAGTTCTTTCAAACTACACTATTTCACTCCAAAACAATCACAAAGTTTAAAAACATGAGTATGACATACAAAGTGTTATCTAATATTTGATCAACAAATTTTGCATTGGGGCAATATCTATCTTTCTATCAATATATGCAAGTCTTCAATCACTAAAATTTAGAGCAAGTAAATATATTTTCGGTACACAATCAATGCAATAGATCAACATATTGGATATTTTCAAACCCTGGGCCCCTGAAGAGGGATGATCCATAGCAGGAGTCTCTGTGTTCAAATCCCTCCCCAGGTAATTAAACTCCCCTCGGGTCCGTGCCTGCCGCCCAGCACGAGTGGAGATTAGTCTCATCCAATAGGGTGGGGACACCTCGTGGCTCGTACCAAAAAAAAAAACATAATGGATACTTTCTGCTCTCTCCCAGGCTCACAAGTAGACACAAATGCCCATGTCGCTAGGATGATAGGATCACACCTATGCCCTGGATGCAAAGTAATTGCTCAGCCTCATCAGTTTTCGTTGTATTTGTAATGTGAATCGATCGATCATGCCAATTGGATCCTATCTTTAATTTTCTTTGGCTACAGTGGAAAGTCAGTTACTTAATTTAGGACCTCAGAAGACTTTTCCAATGAACAAATCTATGTGTGTTACTGTCCTAGTTGCCTTACTGTGGCCTACAACATAGTCAAGGTCTCCTTTCTTCTCAAAAATTTTTCTTGTTTTTTTCTTTTTTCCAATTTGAAGCTTTATTCACAAGTCACAAACTAGTAGCCTTACCATGCCTTTTAATAAGATGGGTTTAAAAATAAGTTGAAGTAAAACTTTGGGTTAAAAAAAGATTTTCCCTTTAATAAAACCAGCACGGGACAAGTGATTTAAAGTTTGTATGCACACTCTAGAGAGAGTCAAGGTCCCCCCCCCCTATGAAAACTTTTCCTTTTCCTATATGAAGCTTCATCCACAAACTATAGTTACTCACAATCCATTACAAATTTTCTAGCAACATTCTGACTTCTTACACGCAAAAACTAATTTTTACACCTTAATTTTTGCCTCAAAAAATTTGAGGTATTTCACATGGTTTATCCATAATTTTTCACATCTGAAATTTTATTTTATTTTGTTTGAAAATGCCACCCGTTTATACCATTCTCCTTAATTATTCCATGTTTGCACATTGATCAAAAATAAAACTATTTGTTCCAAGCTCTCTTTTGATTAAAAACTTCGCAATACCATTCGGTTTATCAATAAATCATAATGTTCATTTGTAACTTCTCCTTTATCTCTGATGCAATGAGTTCCTACGATACATTCATCTATTGCAAACAATTGCATGATGAACATTGTCGAAAGAACTCAAATTATTCCAATTATCCCGATTATGCATAAGTTTCAAGCAGCGTCGTTTTCACAATCTCTCTCATTACATTAGAATTCTTAAATTATGGTAAAAGTTGAGAATTATAGTTCAATATTTTAATTAACATATTCTGCAGGTCTGAGCTTGGTATTTACCTTCAATATATCTAATAAAATTTGAACCAATTGCTCTGATAACACCATCAAACCACAAATCAGCCGTAATGATTATAGTATTTTTGTAACTAATCCAGTGATCCGGTGGGGGAAAAAGTAGCCAAACTTAGGAAAAGTTGGAGGTTCAGTTGGCTTTGATGATCCCACACTCACAAATGAGGCTTGAGTGGGTTGATGAGTATCATAATTGCCAATGAGATTATGGGAACATTTGGCCAAAAGCCCCAACTTGAGAACCTTTTGATTGATGGACATAAAGTTGTCTGTGACTAAGACTCGGCTCCAGCTCCTTTGGCTCATTCTAATTGAGAGTCTGAATTAGATCCTATAATGCGCCGACAAAATTATTTTTTTGAGGGGCATGCTTCGTTTAGATAAAGTAAGCTCATTAGTGGCAAATGTCGTGATGCGACTTACGGCTAAATATCTATATTGGTATTTTAATTCCATCCCATTTATTAAGAAGGTATTTTAATTAGGCAAATCTGTTTTAAGGTATTTTAATTGATTCAACTTACCAATAAGGCTATTTTTCTCGTCGGCGACCAGTTTTCCGGCAAGAGCTCGTCACGTGCGTGACACATGATGACAAACTATTTTTTAGCTGCGGATGTGGTACGGATTTTCTGACGTGGCAGTGTTTAAATGCGAGAATTAACCCTTTAAAAATCTCAATTCACCCAAAATAGGACAGATTCGTGCCACATCAGCAGCTAAAGCACAGTTTAAGTCATCATGTGTCACGCACGTGACGAGCTCTCGCCGGAAAATTGGTCGCCAACGAGAAAAATGGCATTGTTGGTAAGTTGAAACAATTAAAATGTCTTAATGTAGGTTTGCCTAATTAAAATACCTTCTTAGTAAATGTGATGGAATTAAAATACTAATATGAGTATTAAGCCCGACTTAATCCTAAAAGTTGTTTCTCATATGAGAGGCGCTACAGTCACACCTTAAACCACACCCCAACCACACTCCTCTTGTTACAGTGCATTGGGGCTCACGTGAATTTTTTTAAAATTCTCATGTGGGCCCCAGTGCACTGTAGCGAGAGAGGAGTGTGGTTGGGGGTGTGGTTTATAAGGGTGTGCCTCTAGCATTTTCCTTCTCATATCAAGGTTGGATAATAGTCAAGCTTACGTCAAATTGCGTGGGATGATATAACATGGAATCTCATATTTTAAGTCACACATCAATAAATCACATAATCTACAGGTCTCTAACGCAGCCATCAAGACTTTTCAATCCCGTATCCTTAAAACAAATTATATACGTAGCTCCGCATCTCATCCACAATTAAAACCCCTCCTTTATTGATGCTAGTGTTCTCATAAAAAATGAATGGTTATAGAGCTAGACGCCCACTAATATTCCCCTCTCAAATACAAGATGACAACTTCATTCCTCGCCCGTTCCTTTTCCTTTCCCTTTTCTATGGTGACCTTTGGCCCACACCACTTACCGATTCATGTTCTCTTTCTCGAATCATTACTAGGTTTATATGGCTTAATGAATGGTTATATATTTCTGTTGAATAAAAGTAAAAAAGTCAAGCACAATTCGTGACGCTTGTTTGTAATTTTAGTTAAGTTAAATCGTAACCATTTAATTATCATCCTAATGAAAATTGTGATCGAGATCGAGAGTGGAAACCCTCCACACATATGTGTACATATACACATGATCTCCTGTACCCCCCTCTCCGCACTTGCACGGTTTGCACCCCCAAAATCTACTCAAATTCGAGGGGAAGAACAAATGAACAACGCGCCGCTTCTCCTCTTATGCTCGCTTTTGTCTCTACAAATTGCAGTTCAACAATTGCGTAGGCCTCGATATCGACATCGGCATCGGCATCGGCGGCGGCGGCTCCGAACCCCCCTCTGACTGCCCGCCGCCTCCCCCGCCCCCTCGAGTGCCCGCCTCCGTCTCCTCCGCACCCCCGCGCCATCAGGGCCGCAGCCCTCCGACTTCCGAACCTCCTCCAATTCCGCGCCTACAACGTTAATTCAAAAATTCAGAAGACCATCACGTCAGACCCCTAAACAAGACGGCAAACTGGACGGGTCCGCCCGTGCACGTTCAGCGGTTTTACTGCGAGACCCGCCGGGGCCTCAACGACACCCCGACCATCGCCTCCATCGACTTCAACGGCTTTCGCCTCGGCGCCCCGACCCTCTCCGGCTCATCGACCAGCTCCCCGACCTCGCCATTTTCCACGCCAACTCCAACTCCTTCTACGGCACGGTCCACCGACCTCACCGGGCTCAGTACCTCTACGAGCTCGACTTCAGCAACAACGCGCTCTCCGGCCCGTTCCCCGGCAACCTCCTCCCCTAACAACCTCTCGTTCCTCGACGTCCGCTTCAACTCCTTCTAGGGCGCGTCCCCGCCGCGTCTTCGCCCTCCCCCAGCTCGATCTACTTCTTCTGAACGACAACGCCTGTTCCCAGCGCTCCCCCCCGACCTCGGGGCTCGACCGCGGGTACCTGACCCTCGCGAACAACGGGTTCACGGGCCGCGATACGCCGCCTCCATAGGCGAGGCGTCCGAACCCTCATCGAGGTCCTCTTCCTCAACAAACAAGCTCTCCGGCTGCCTCCCCTACGAATCGGGCTCTGCCCAGAACGCCACGGTCTTCGACGCCGGCAACAACAGGATCACCGGCCCGATACCACTGTCCTTCGGGTGCCTGAGGAAGGCCGAGGTGCTGAATTTGGCGGGGAACCTGCTGTACGGGAGGGTGCCCGACGTGCTCTGCAACCTGGCGAGCTGCGGGAAGCTGGAGAACCTGTCGCTGTCGGGGAACTACTTCACCTCGATCGGGGAGAGCTGCTGGGGTTTGGTCGAGAGCGGAGCTCTGGATCTGAGGAGGAACTGCGTCGCCGGGTTGAAGGGTCAGAGGTCGGCCTGGGAGTGCGCTATTTTTTTCCTAAGGCACAGGTTCTGTCCGGTTTGGACTTTTATGCCGTGCGAGGATCAGAGGGATTGGGGGGCTCACCGGAGTGAGGAGGCGGCGGCGGCGGCGAAAAAGGCGGGGACCGTGGTTTATAATGCTGTGAATAAGCGGCAACCTAATCCTTAATTAGGATTGTTTGTTAAAAGGGTCAATGGCTCATACAATACATACAATCTCTGTAGCAGTGTTGCATATTGGAGCGTGTGTTTTTGCTTAAAAGAAGATGATGCAATTTGTTTGTATATGAAATTACGGTTTTTCTATAGAGTCCTCGTGGGTACTCGTGGGCACTCTATAAGAGAGGAGAAAGATAGAGAGAAATGAATAGCTCATGGTCTCCTCTGATTTTCATTAATTTCTGTGCATAATTCATTTTTCTCTCTCTTTCCTCTCTCTTATAGAGTGCATGGGCACTCAATAGAAAAAACGTATGAATTAACAGGTGAATGTGTCGGCCGGTATTCGATGGATAAAGGAAATATTAGTTAAAAGTTGATTAAATGTTGGAAAGCAATTTCATTTTTTAAGTCCTTTTTTTTCTGGATAATTGAAAAGCGATGAGAAAGTTAAAAATAGATATATAAAAGCACAAGATGTGTGAAAAATTAAATTTTCTCATTTACCTTTTATTCAATTTCTCAAAAAAAAAATGTGAAGAAAGAGAAAAGGTTAAAAATTGCTGACGTCCCATGTTCAGCTTTTTAATTGATACAAATAATAAAATAAAAAACGAAAAAAAATATTTACTTCTCGATTATCAAACCAACTTTATTTAACCGTTTCTTTAGCTTCTATTTATTTTTGGTTGTCAAACACCAAGTATTTTTAAATAAGTGAAAAGCAAAAGATTTGAATATTAGTAACAAGCAGGGTTTGAGAGGGAATTGTGAGGTGGGATTGAAAGGATCAAAGGCTAGATTGAGAGTGTGCCAGGTTTTTGTGGAAGCCCAAGTGTTGTCCCTCTGTGAGTTCTATGCTGTGAAAGGATCAGAAGGATTGGGCGGGTTGATTGGAGAGAGGAGGCAGCGGCGATGAGGCAGCGGCCGAGGGAGGTGGCTTATTGTGCTGTGCATAAGAGGGAGGTGACTTAATCAGTGAAGTGAAAATTCAATGTAAATTTGATCATAGAATGATGATCAAATTTTTGTTTTGTAGTTGTATGTGAGGCTAAGCTAAGAACGATGATGTAATTTTTGCTCATAGAAGAATGATGTATGTTTTGCTTTTTTGAAAAAGAAAAACAAGAAAAAAGACGTGGATGTTGTTTCTAGGCAAAAGTATTTGATGTATTACGGACTTAATCAGCGAAGTGAAAAGTCGATGTAAATTTGATCAAATATTAGATGTTCAACAATTGAGATACTGAAGACTTTCTTAGGGGCTGTTTGGTTGGTCCAAAACCACAGAGGGTATTTTTCACAATTTCCTTCACAATCAGGTGTTTGTTTTGCAAAAGACAAAAAGGAAAGTGAGGGAAAGATATGGTGCCAGCTAGACATTTTCCCCACAAAATTTTTCGCTATTTTGAAGCCGATTACCGGGGAAAAGTCACACATCTACTACTTTCTTATCTTTTCAATTTGAACCAAAATAAAGAAAGTTATGGAAAGTAATTATGTTCCATTTTCTTTATGAAATAAACATAAGAAACACTCTTCCAAGAAAGTGAAGAAACACCAAAAAGCGAAGAAAATTGAGTTTTTAAAAGAGAAGGAAAGTGACCAAACAACTCCTTAGAGCATCTCCAAGAGGCCGGAAAAATCCAGCCCCTTAGCTAAATTAAGGGGGATTGTAGGGGAAGTTGCTCTAAGGAGCCGGAAAACTTTCCCCTTCACCTCAAACCCCTTAACTCTCTCCCCAAATTAACGGGAAGATTAAAGTCCATTAACTTTCCTCTTATAATTTTATATTAATATTTTTAATGGAGTTAATGTATAGTTAATCAAATTTAGTTAGTGTATAGTTATTAATATTTAATTATTTATTGATGATTTATATAAATTAATTATTATATAAATTAATTAATTATTAAATTTTAATATGATTAATTAATTTTTAATGATTATATAAGGTAATTTCTTAATTTAAATTAATTAAATAATTATTTTTAGTTATCAATAATTAATTAATTAATTATTTATAAATAAACTACATATTTAATTAAATCCTAATTTATAAAATTAAAATACTAAATATGAATAATTAAGGGGTAAGAGAATTTTTAAGAGAGGACTATTGAAGGAGAACCTTGTCCCCTTAAATTAAGTGAGATTGTAGAGATCCCTTGGAGATGCTCATAATCTTTCTTTGCAAATCTTATTTGAATGACAAGCCAAAATGTGCGAAGGTGAGTTGATGCTTGATAAGACGCTCACTTTTTTAGCTGTTTGTGAAAAGAGTACTGCTGAAATAAGTATATGAAAATTAAACGCAAGAAGAGTAAAAGAAGTAATTTTCTATCCTTCTAATTTATTTCTCCTTCAATTTTTAAAAAAACGAAGAAAGTGACAGGGTAAAGCCAACGTGACATCTTCCCCTTTTTAGGGGCTGTTTGGTTGATTTCCTAAAAGGGCCTGTTCGTTTGCCATAAAAAAATGGGAAATCAAAGAAATAGAAAACTATTTCTAAGAAAAATAGGTTTTTGGATTGTTTGGTTGGCTAAAAAAAATGAAATCAAAGAAATGGAGATGAGATGAGATGAGTTGTCACATTATTATTGGATGATGTGAGTGCTTTTTTAAGAAAACTAGTTTTGATGTTGTTCGGTTGACGAAAAAAATAAGAAAATGAATTATAAGAAACCTATTTCCTGTAGTTTTGTTGTTTTCTTTTGTTTGGTTCATTCTTAAAAATAAGAAATGAAATGAGATGAGATGAGTTGTCATTGTATTATTGGGTGATGTGAAGAAAGATTAAGAAAAGTATTTTCACAACTTTTTGGGATGAAAACAAAGAAATGAAATGTTAATGAGATGAGGTGAATTGTTATAATATTTTATTCGATGATGTGAGTGATTTGAAATGATGAAAAGAGATGAGTTGAGTGATGTTTGGATGAAAATAATATTTTATTAGATGTGATGGATGAGTTGTTAGATGAAAATAATATTTTATTAGATGTGGTGGATGAGTTGTTAGATGAAAATAATATTTTATTAGATGATGTGGATGAGTTGTTGGATGAAAATAATATTTTATTGGATGTTGTGGGTGAGTTTTATGGATGGAAATGGAAGAAATGGATTATTTTGAGATTTCCACCTTTTCCATTTCCATTTCTTGGTTTTTAGGAAATAAACGAACAGGCCCAAAACCAAAAAAAGGAAATCGGTACAAGGAAATCAATAAAATAATATTTTTATCAATTTTCATCCTTAAAACTCACCCCCAACATCTAATAAAATATTATTTTTATCCTCCAACTCATCTTATTTCATTTTATTTCTTACCTTTAAAAATAAACCAAACACAAGAAATGTGTCACATCATCCAACTCATCACATCTCATCTTATCCCATTTTTAAAAATCACACACATCATCCAATAATATTGTGACAACTCATCTCATCTCATTAAACCTTCCTTTCCATCCATTTCCTAAAAAAACAAGAAATTGACAATTCATCTCATCTCATAATATTCATCCAATAATATACTTCCAACTCATCTTATCTCATCTATTTCCTTATTTTTAAAAATGAACCAAACACAAACAACCTCAAAACATCATCTAATAATATACCTCCAACAAACAACCTCAAAACATCATCTAATAATATACCTCCAATTCATTTCCTTATTTTTTTAACCAACCAAACAACCTCAAAACAAGTTTTTTTTTAAAATCACTCACATCATCCAATAATAATGTGACAATTCATCTCATCTCATCTCCTATTCTATAATTTCCTTCTTTTTTTTTGGTGAAGTAATTTCCTTCTTTTTTAACCTAACCAAATAACCTCAAAACAATTATTATAGGAAATAGGTTTCCTATTTTTTTAATTTCCAAGTTTTTTTTGCGAAACGAACAGACCCTTAATTATCACCATCATCACAGGGGGTGTTTCATGTTTGGTTCAATTTCTATAAAAAATAGGAAAAGGAAAGCACCTAAAGAATAGATTTCTTTGTATTTCTTATAAAAAATTATAGGGAAGGTTTTGCAAACTAAAAAAGTATAAATTTTCTTATTTCTTGTACTTTCATTTTTTGGTACAAAATAAAAAAATTGACTCATTATTTTATAGAAATAGCAAATTTTCTTTTTCTTTTGTTTGATTGCATATGAAAGATTTATAGAAAAGTTTTGCTAATCTTATTCATCACTTTACTAACTCACATCCAGCTGGAAATCTGAATAATCGCGTAAATTTTCTATTCTCAAGAATGTGTAGATAAATAGCTCGTCTTTATTACTGAATATACTAGATAAATAGATCGTAAGCCTCAGCGGCTTCTTACGATCACATACCGAGTCAAACCCTAGATCCTCGCCGTTTTAAGTCATGAATCTCGACAGAGAACTTTCCCCAAGGCTGCTGCGCGAACCCCTACGATATCCTTGGGCGTCTAATTGTGAGCCGTCGTCAGATTTGGGTTCATAACTGATAAGCAGATGTATGGGTTTTGAGGAGCTTAACGTGTGATTTGAACGTGTTTGGATTGGTGAGGGTCATAAAGGCCTAAAACAGAGAATATTCTCCTAAAATTTTAATGGTCACTAATTGCGGGGACTAATATCAACACGCTAATGCAATTTGAGGGGCTAAATCAAAATTAGTCAGATTCAGGGGACTAATATCTAAACGCCTCTATTTTGAAGTCTCTAAAAAATCAATGAAATTGCAATTGGTCCCATTAAATCTCGTAAGTTGTCTCAAATTAATCAATCTAGCTAGATAAGGCAAAAATACTAAATTGATATATTTTATTTATCTTTAATGACAGTTTGGTATATACTTTTTTCTAGCGACATATTGGCATATTATTTTTTCTCACGCTGCAAATGGGGCTCAAATTTGCCCGGACCTAAATTTTCGGCGAAATTTCTTACGTGATGCCTCACGTGGTGCGAATGTGGCTTCCAACATCATAAATCAGCTCCAATCCTAAAGCTTAACCCCTCAATCTCCTTCCTCATCCACCTCTCCCTCTCCTCTCTCTTTCGCTCCTCTCGCCTCTCCGACGACTCCCGGACCTTCTGTGACGCTCCAGAGTTCACGCAAGGCTGCAGTCCAAAGTAAAATCCGGATTTGTCAAACCTGTCTAGCACCAAACACCATGCTACGACATGTTTCACCATAACAGTCATTATCTCTCTAGTGGAATCAACAAACAAGTGAAGGTACAAAA